TTACAATTTATATTATCAGGACCAACTGCTTTATTAGTTTTAAGCATTTTAAAAGGACTTTCAAATTCTGAAGAAGATACTTTCAATTTATTTAAACTAGATATTAATGTAATCATATAATCATTAATTGGATTATTCATATTTGGAATATTTTTAGCTATATTTTGCCCAACAGAAACGAAATATTTATTTAATTCTTTTGCTATTTGTTTGGGTTCATATAAAATAACGCCTTCAACATTTATAGTGTTAGGCACAGAGCATAATTTTAATTTACTAATTCCATTAATTTGACTCAAATTCGCCATGTACGTTTTGAATTATGTTTATATTTTTCTAGTAAATCATAGTATTATCGTTTTTTAAATTTTTTTTTTTTGACTTTTAAACATTTTAGCATAACTTTTATAAATAATTTTGTTTTCTGGTGTTGGTTTTTTAAGTACTTTATATGCAGTTTTTGTTTTATTTTTGAGGATTTCCTAAGATCTATATTGACCCAAAATTTACACCATATATTTTATATAAAGTTTGAAAGAATGTATCGTATACTTCATTAATTTTAAATTGGTGTCCGGCTATTTTAGCGTCATGAACTTTTCTTGCTAGCATGCCCCACACGTTCTAGTTTGAATTTAAGTCCGGGCTACAAGCTGGCCATTTGAGAACTGGGATGTTGTGGTCTTTAAACCATTTCATAGAATGCCTAAATGTATGAATTGCAGCATTATTATGCTAAAATATGGCATTATCGTCCATGCTTTCATCCATATGAGTTATGAGAATTTAAATTTAAAATTCAACTATCTTGTTATTATAAATATGTAAAACTTACAGACTACTGTTCCATTTGAGGAGGGAATAAAATGGAAATAAATGGAAATAAATGGAAAGAAATTCGAATTGATGCGTATAAACGAATATGCCTCAGTATATCTATATCTAGTTTATATATATATCTAGTTAATATCAAACTAATTAAACTAATTATTATAAAAAGAAGATCAAAATAATTTTTTTACTTAAAATATCCAGCTACGATTTGCATTTCTTTACAGCATTTTAAAGCTCTAAAAATGCTGTCAAGAAATGCAAGTCGTAGCTAAAGTTAACATTTTAGCTCTTTTAAAGCTAAAATGTTAACTCTATCGTTTGCTTTTAAAAGTGAATTAGTATTAGTAGAGAATTGCAGTTACAGTATAAACTCCGGAGAGACTAATTTTCATTTTTCTTTACAAAAGATTTCACAATGCAATCACTTGTAATGACACCTAATGTTTGTGAAACAATAAAGAAAAATTGTTTCATGAGAATGATTCAAAAAAACCAAACAATCATTATAAAAATTTTGATTAAATATTTTGACATCAATTTTTGCATAAAAAAGGGGGGTCAATCGCACCCATCAATCATTCCCCCACCCTCCCCACCCTCCTTACGGTACGGGCCTATAAATGTATAAACTAACTTGATTGAATCTGTATGACATTCTTTATTTTATATTCTAAAAATCTTGTTTATATATTTCAACAAACGTTCAGAATATCTTTTGAATGTTTAAGAGACGTGTTTTCTAGACCAATTTTGTACAACTGCACTTAAACGGAAAGTCTTATTTAAGTCTTCTTACAACGTCTATTGAACGCCCTCAAAGGACGTCTTTGAGCGTCTAATCTAGAATCAGTTTAGAAAGCGTCGGAGACATTCCTTCTGAACTTACATCGTATCTTATTTGTATGTCCCCTAGTTCGTTAGGTTTAGATGTCGTCATGTGTATCTGAGAAATTAGTTAAACGGCTGCTATAAACTTTGAAGACTGTTTACTCAAAATATAAAACATTATATATTATATTACATTTTCCTAAGTTTCAACTATTTCCCACTATGTATACCTTGTGTACCAACACGGTTGCATATGCTAAAAAACACTAACTAGATAAAATGCTTTATTCTAGTGGTCGATGCCGGATTTCAATCTATCCTATTAAAACACTTTTTTTAAAATACAAACCTTATTATCAACTTTCTGATTTCTTTTTTCTTGATATCACAAACAGATGTTCAACCACAGGATTAGATATTGTTATCAATATAATAATAAAAACAACAATTTCAACCATAAATTTCATTTTTAGACTACTGAAAAAGACCAAATTGATTGCGTTTCTATAAGTTCCTTTGTAGCATCTACACTTGCCAGTCTCTTTATAATTAATTAAAACTAGCAGTAAGCAACCCGAAATACGCGTTGTTAGTAAATAAAATTAAAAAAAAAAACCCGCGTATAGAAAAGCCTAGAAACTACTTTAAAATAGAAAAGCCTAGAAAATGACGTAACTCGACTAAAATAATATTATTAAATTAGCGTATTCATATTATCAGAAAAAAAAAGTTACTATCTTACAATATAGTAAAAGTAGTGTTTTACAAACGCTATGTAAATGCCATTTTAACGGCTTTTCTTGTTATGCAAGCAATACTACTTGCCATTCAAAGACATGAATTGTTGAACACTATAGGTTATAAATAACGCCATTTCTATAGTAATAACACTAACACTATGAAATAACACGAATAATTTGAACAAGTTTTTTTTTTTTATTGAAAAAAGTTATTAACTTTTAGCCGGGCTTAGAGTGAAAATATATTGAAAAAAAAAAGTGTTAAAATATAATACGACATAAAAATTTAAAACAATTGTCTTACTTTAATGTTTGAATGTCTTTTAAAATTGAGACAAAATTAACATTACAATTTGTTATTATTAAAATTTGGATTAAAAGTATTTTTTGTAATAATAATGTTGTACTTATATTTTAAAGTAAAGTTTAAATTAGTTTAAGCCTATTAAGTGTTTGTAATTATGGCTTCGTGAGTTAATTGCGGTTAATGATAAACTATATTGAAAGGGTTCAATTTTATATATAAAGACAATAGTAAAATTAACTCGTTAAGATAAACAATTAACTACGACTGCTTCAAAAACACAAGACTCTCAATGGAAACAAAGTTATCAAGTTATTTAGACGGAAGGAAGGATCTTTTGCCATCAGAAATGCTGATATTCAAAGATACCTTAAGAAAAGGTCTCTTTATCCGAAAAACGTTACTGCAAGAAGAAAATGTTAACAGATAAAATTTCAAAACACTCAAAATTTAATACTTTTTAAAGTATTAATTATTTTTGTTCTTAGGGGAGTATATCAGTGAGAAAACTCTCTCGGACATTATTCTTAGCAGTGGATGAAAGCAAATGGTCTTTTTAAACCTCCAGTGGTTGTTAAAACGTAAACTTTGATGGAAAAATTAAAATTTACTGGAACACGATTAGAGATATAGAAAATAGTAAAGCTTCTAAGACACATGTGTCTTCTTGTAAGAAGTGCAATTTACTTTACAAATTCACACTTCCAGTTTTGATTCTGATGGGAATCAAAACAAGAAATGTGAAATTGTGTTATGTAACGAGTATTGTTTAAAAAATTATTCTTGTAGGAATCATATACATATTTAAAACACTCGCATCAAAAAAAAAAAAATTCCAAGGTTGAACTTTCTTGGCTTATAGCCGAAAGGGAAAAAAAAGGATTTATTTCAAAGTAACTGATAGATTTAAATGATATTAACAAGTCAGATTTTGGTAGAGGGAAAATCTTAGGAAACCTTAAGAATAAAAGAAATTAGAAATGAAATAAAAAACAACTTAGAAAATGATAATGCTGTTGAATGTTTCCTTAAGAATGATTTAGTATTAAAGAAGTTTCATAAAAGTATGTTATTTCTTCAGCAGCAACGTCAAAGGTAAACTTAAGCTAAAACCATATTACCAAGAAAACGAGACAAAGAAGCAGCATTATTTAGAAAACTGTATAGTTTAAATAAAAGCAACTAAAAAATTTAAATTTGAATGTCTAGATAAAAAATCGCCCTGCTCTTTTATGATGTTTTTTATAAATATTGCCATAAATTATGAAACATTGATAACACTTTTTTAAAAAAAAATCTCAGTAATGCGATGGGCGTTTCAATAAAGATAGTTTTACGCAAAATTTATTGGCTGCTAAATCAATATATTGCCATATATGTTCATAATATATGGCAATATATATATATAAAAAAAATATACCCAGTCTCAGATTTCAAATATTTTTTAAGTACGATAAAGAGCCCTTGAATTATTCCTAATTTTATCTTCCCAAAAAGTGCAATACCGCATATATAAAAACTATTATATAATATTTTTTTTTTCCAGGTTATAATTCATATTTAATTTTCTAAAATGCTGTGTTTACAATTATTCAAATCTTTTACCCATATAGAACAAGAAAACATAATATCATAATCATAAATATGAAAATCATAATTATAATCATAAATATGAATTGATTTTAAAATGCAGACATTAAAACACCTTTTAAAAAATTATGAAAACAAATGCTCAAATTAAAATTTTCCTAATTCTAAATTATTCTTCTCAGATTTAATTTGTTAGAAAAATAGTGTTGTTGTATTTTCTGGTTACAAAATAACTACAACTATAATAAAATTAATTATAATGTAAGTTATTTTTCCAAGAATTTTAATTTTTTAATATTTGAAGAATTTTTGAAATTTAACTAAATCCTCCCGAAAAACTAAAGTGTATACTAATTTAATAAAACTTTGTTTTTTAAAAACATTGAGCACTGTAAATGTAAAAAACACTAATATAATAAATATATATAAATATATATATATATATATATATATATATATATATATATATATATATATATATATATATATATATATATATATATATATATATATATATATATATATATATATATGTATATATATATATATATATATATATATATATATATATATATATATATATATATATATATATTTAAATATATATATATATATATATATATATATATATATATATATATTATATATATATATATATATATATATATATATATATATATGCATAGAATAATAACAATACTTGCCGTTAATGAAACTTTTATATGATTGCGAACCATCCGAAAGGGTTGTACAATCATTTGTGTTCACACAATCTTCGTCATTACTACATGGTGCTTTTGTTTTGTTACCATTTTGACTTGAGTAGCACGACTCTCTCTTAAAAGTGTAAAACAATGAATGAAAAAGATTTGTATTCTACTTATTTTATCAATTTTATGGTAAAAATAGAATATTTAAGTAAAAAAAAAGAAACAATAAAAATACAAGTTGACATATATCGACTTCGATGTAGGTATTAGCGTAATTAAATGTACATACAACAACTGACATATGGAGATAGGCGTAATTAAATGTAAGTATATTTATAAGAGTTTGTTAGGTTTAAAGATCAATCAGATCGATCACTAATGTTTTTTCGGACACCCAGTGTTGTTTTGTCATATTATGTCTAAAAATCCTGTCGACGTAATTTCACTTTTTCTGTCAATATATTTTATATCAGTCGCATTTTATGTCAACTTAATTTGAGATAATTTTATATCTTAATTGTTTTTTCAACATAATGATTTTTTATATCTAATTTTTTATTGACATATTTTAACATAAATTTATAGCATATTTGCTGCTTTATATTCTTAAAGAAAAAATCAATCTTATAAGTTTATAGCGCATTTAAGAATAACTTGAAAGGCAAAACGAAAAAATGTTATAAATTATTTTTTTGTTGCAATGAATGCTACCGTTATGACACTTAATATTTTACTTTTCACACACAAAAATATCACGCAAAAATTTATGTCGGGAAATATGTCTCAGACATAAAATAGTTTATAAAAGTTTATGTTAAAATATGTTGATAGAAAATAAGTCTATAAATACTATACAAAATCCAAGTTTCTAGGTGAAGAACTTTTTATTCTTATTTTAAGAACCTGATTCTTATTTTATCAACATTTATATATATATATATATAATATATATATATATATATATATATATATATATATATATATATATATATATATATATATATATATATATATATATATATATATATATATATATATATATATATATATATATATATATATATATATATATATATATATATATATATATATATATATATATATATATATATATATATATATATATATATATATCAATAATTATCTGCAGGTATTCTTAAAAACAGAATTCAGAAAAATTAAAGCCACTGAATTTCCCTTTCTGAAAATTTCCTACACCCTCTGACAGAACTTGTTTTCATGATTTTATGTAATCAAATAGCCTAATCCATTTGATCGCCATTAAGACTAAAATAAAAACCAGAAAGAGTCGTATACTACAAAAGTTTTTTAGATTTTGCCTCTATTAAATGCAATATTCATTTCTGCAAATCTGCATAAATCTAAACAACATAAATGTGAATCTTTTGTATGGGCAACGTAGTAGCTGAATAATATAAGTGTAAGGTCCAAGCAGGGCCTGATCTTCCACAAGGCAAGTAAGACCCGCTAGATTTGAAGTACGCCTTTTAGCGTTTTTAAATATACCTCTATGTTTTACACAATATCTCAAAAATATTATGTTCTGTTCCCAGAGGCAAATTGGCTAGCGAAAAGCTAGCTATATTCGTAACGATAAAAACAGCGATTTGGTTACGAAGATCGCTAGCTTTTTAAAGTTACCAAAAAGCTATCGATATTTGTAAATATAAAGACAAACATTTGGTTAAAATGACAGCCAGCTTTATAAGCTAAAGACACACTAGCTATTGTAGCTTGCGTCATATCGTAATAAAGTTGTTGTTTAAAAAAAATTTGATATGTAGCTATTAACCAGCTATAGATTTGTAGATATACTGTAACTTGCTACAAAGCTACGACATGTAGCTAGCGACACATTACTACAAAATCGCCATGTTTAAAGTTTGATTATCCTCATAATTATAACAGACTTAACACTCAAAATCAAACTTTTAAAGATGTTAAAGACATTAGGAAATAATAAAATATGAAAAAAAAATCGCTAGAAAATCGCTATAAAGCGAGTCACTAGCTCATTTTCCACCGGGTTGTATTTCTGAATTAAATTCATGAACATATGGTCCACAACAGTCCGTAATAAAAAATTTTTTATAATTTTTTAAAAGTTCTTTATAATTTTTTAAAAGTATTTTATAATTTTTTAAAAGTATATATAACTTTTTAAAAAGTATATATAACTTTTTGGCCAATAATAAAGTATTTTATCGGCCAAATGTTAACTTAAAAAAGCATAAAAATAATGACTTATAAAGGTCGCCAATTAGCTAAATCAGAAATTCAGAACTTCATAAATTATCTAGAAAACAGTGAAAATAAAGATTATGAAGATGATTAGTGGCATTAATGTCTATCAAAAGCGAAGTTACAAAAATTATAGATTTTGAAGAGATTCTGAATCAATTTATGCATGAAAAATCAAGGAAAAAAAATATACTAATTTTGATACATGTAAGTTTTAACTGTCTAAAATTATTTTATACTTTCTTAAACGTTTCTTCTAACCACAGAAGTATTTAATCCTTTAGTTAAGTGAACTTACATATGAATCTCTAACCTGAAAAAGGGGGCATGTCCTGCAAAAATTCACATAACATGTCCCCTTTTTCAAGTTTAGCCAACTTGTTTTAATAAAAAATAACATTACCATGGAAAATTAAATTTTAGTTCAATCTTTTGAAATGTATAAAAATATTAAATGAGTAATAAATATAATTAAGCAAAATATATGAATCCCTAACTGTTGCGTCACTCGTTCTTTTTGCGTCGTTCTTTTTTTTAGATCAGAGAAATAAAATTTTAATAACTTTTCTTTGAATAAATGAAAAATGGAAGAGAAAATTGCTTGAAAATTTGTATTTGTTGTGTTTTAAATTTTTTTTAATTTTTCATGTTAAGAGACAAATGCCAAATACGATACAATTTTGGAAATACCAAATATAATGTTTTTGAAGGCGCATTATGACATTTTGACAACTTAAATTACCATTTATCTTGAATTATTGTCATTAAATAATGCGTTATATAATAATAATTTGTCCGTATTTTTGTCACATATTAGTTGTATAAAAAGGCCAATAATATGCAAACTTCATGTTTTTTATTTGATGGTTATAAAATATTGAACAGTAAACTTGTAATCAAAATTTATAAAGCCGACTTGTACTGCTATTAATTGTACTTTTAATGCAAAACTAGGATCT